GAATTAGTTGGATGCTTTTTTTTTAGACGATTTTAAGGAGTGGATCGAATCTGGATCATATGTGGATCCTGTTCAAATGGGTTATCATGCTCCAGAAATAGACAATAGATAAAATAGATATGTACGTGTACGTGCCACACTGTTTTAATATGTGGATCGTATGTGGAACTTATTGAGAATTTTCATTCATATGATTTTAACGACCAAAAACTGAATCCCACACAAATTCAAACAATGTAAACCGTTAACAGATCACCATACATCACAGATTCATTGTGTGGAATGCATGCGATTCGTATTCCCATGTGTATCCCATTGTGGATGTTGCAACTGCCAGTCAGCGCTCGCTCGGGGATGCTGACGCTGTCGCTGTCGCTCTGAAATGCTGCCTCTGGCACCTGTTGATCTTATGCAAATACCAAATACCAAATAGTTCCACGCTTAACAATACGATCCCTGACAAAGTACACAACACCAACGATCTGTTGAGCTGTAGAGCCCGGCCACCGACAAATAGGAGTACACATTTGTATCTTTGATAAGCCAGCTCGCATTGCATTTGGTCGTTTATTGTTCTTGTTCTGTTGCACGAGTACGCGGACGTGTATTGTATCTCGCTCTTTCTCCAAAATTCATTTGTTTGAACTTTATCAGGCTGGGCTTGCGTGCATTGCGGGGGAGTTGTGCGGTCTGCGGTGTGCGGAGTGCGCTGTTCCAGCGGTTTGTTTGGTGTGCATGTGTATCTGAGCGACGATAAGATACGGATACATCAGCAACGAAAACGAAAACGAATCTCATTCTTTTCCTTTCTCGGTTGTTGTTTTTTTCGAGGGTTCAGCTACAGCTTCGGTTTCATCAGCAGACCACAGCATGCCAAAGCCATGAGGCTAATTTTCTGAGAATAATTTTGTGATTTGAGCGGTACGAGTATGAGTATGAGTAGTTGTTCCCTCTACATGCCTCTAGATGCCCCAAAGGGAAGTTGTCCCCACACAAATAGTAAATAATGGCATTTAACATTCGGAATCACAGAATTTTGTTGTTTGCATACCGATAAGGCATCATTCCTCAGGCCCAGAAAAACAAAAAAGTAGAAGCAGCAGAAGGAATTTTTCTATCGTCTTGACATGTGTCTGGGTACTGTTACGAGAGTCAATAAGATTAGCACCATCATCATCATCATCGCCAGGTTGTTCATTATTAGAAGTCATCATATATCTGGACGTATGTATGTACATTGAGATGTTTAGTCATATGATTGTACTTAAATAGGTCTGTACTTATGCATGAATGTTCACAAAAATAGTTCCATTATAGAATATGGATAAAAACTTCCCTGTTCAATATCCACAAATTGATAGTTCCTGCTGGATGACTTATAGTTGTTCCATGCTCAGAACCATACATTGATTTTACTCAATGTAATTGAAAACTAGTAATTGATTACTATTATTGATGGATAGTTAAACATGATCTTTTAAGTTTAAATATTAAGTTGTTCGATAGCTGATGAAATTGATATTGGAACTGTTATTAATTTATATTCCATAGTTGGTTTACTAATGAAATAATATGTTTTATTAACCGATGTTTCAAAGCATGCATCTGCCCTTACACCCTCAAAACGCACAGCATTCTCATATATTGTATGTATATACACATATGTACATATGTATGTACATACGTAGGTCTATATGTAGAGCTATATCTATGGCCAGTGCCAACGTCTTGCTGTTCATCATCAAAATCATGATTGTCGCCATCGTCGTCGTGCCCAGCTCATTATTTTTATGACTCTTTGTGCTGGGCCCCGTCTTCAGCACTCGGTTCTGGCTCTTCTCTGGGGCTCCTCTGCCATCCGCCATCCGCCATCTACCATGAACCATCTTCCAACCAACTTCCTTCTATCTGGCATTGCAAAGTGATCTAAATCTATTGACTGAACTCCCAGAGGGACAGAGAGATAGAGAGTGAGACGTGCAGATATACACCTGAGAACCGAGCAACAAGCGAGTGGATTGTTATAATTTTTATGATACTCGTACTTTTTGCTGCTGCCGCATTTCTGGCTAACTATTTATGCCACCAGCAAGACCATAAATATGTGCATGTGTGTACCCGTAGATACTCTCTGTTTTTTGTCTTCTCTCTTTTTATTGTTATTCATGCATAATGCCAAAAAAGATAAATAACAAATAAATTTCTTACTATGTTCTTTAAGCCATCTCTCTGCTAGTATTCTCCTCTCTCTCTCTCTCTCTCTCTCTCTCTCTCTCCAACTCCATCTCCATCTCCATCTCCGTCTCTTTGTTTCTGTTTCATTCTGTGGTAATTATTAATAAATGCCGCCACTGCCGCCTGCCCCTCGTTCCCTGCTCTCTAATAATATTCACGCTTCGCTTAACATTGAAGAAAACTTAAGACCCAGACTAAGTCAAGACGCTCTCTGGGTCTTGTAGGGGGATTGGAGCTGGCGACGGAGATGGAAACGGAGACCGAGTCTATCGCTGGGGACTGGGCCGTGCCCTTAGCGTTCCAACAGCCAAACAACCAAACAACCGACAACCAATTGTCTTTTGGCATATTTTCAAGTTGAACGCTCGGCAAGTTTTTTTTCCTTCTACCATTTCTAGAGATTTTCTAGTGCGATTAAGCGAAAAACGAAACGGTCTCATAAAAAATATTCCTCTCTCTCTCTTTCTGTCTTCTTTGTGTGTGTGTGTGTGTTTGTGCTTTGCAAATACATAGATACTAAAGAATCGGTGGGATGAGGAGAAAATGGTGGCTGTTGGGGCTGTTGGGATCGGCAATCAAATTGCAGCTTTGTGTCTTGGCAAAGTTCAATGGCAAAAGTGTGAAATTCGATGGCGACCGTGGATGCTATTTCAAGTGGAACGTGGGTGGAAGCTAATTCAAGCATTAATTTATCCAAGTCGATTGTTTGATGTAATATAAAAGATTTTAAAGAGGCCTCTAGAGCCTATTTGTCATGTGGAACCTAGGTGGAAAGTGAAATCAGAAGCTAGAGATCTTCGCTTTCTGGGATACGGGCTATTTCATAAACGAAAATTCCAAAATTATCCATTAAATATGAAGCACAGTGGCTGTGGAACTCATGTGTAGCCAAAAAAAAAAAAAAAATCAAAGAAATCGTTAATTTATTCAAACACATCCTGCTACTCCTCCAGTGCTGCGGCTGCTGTCAAATTTTCGCAATACTCCCATAACCCATTCGGAGCCATTCACTCGCTCATTCATTCATTCGTTCCACACACATATGTATGTACATATGTGGACGGGTCGAACCCTCGATTGGGATCGGCATTGGCATCGCCCTCGCCCATTGCCATTGCCATCAGAGAACTGCTTTGCATATTGACATCATCATTTTGGCAGAGACGACAAACTGTCAAACAAAACAATTGCTGTCAAATTTACTACAATGAGCGTACGCTGAAAGCCGGCACAGCAACAGCAACAGCAACAACGGGACAAAAAATGGAGCTGTCAAAGTTTTTATGGCAGGCCAAGAAGCAATTTCAACATATCAATAAATTTTTGACAATTCCCGAAGACACACCGAACCGCACAGAGGATGGGAAGGACAGAAACAGAATGAAACGAAACGAAACGAACCGAACGAAAGGACAGGAAAGAAATACCAGGGAACACCTTTTCAATAAATTTGCTACAACTGTCAGCGAAACAATGTCATTGTCACGACGCCCTCACCCATACCCATCTCCATCTGCAACTCCTTCTTATTCCACTTCCAATTCCAACTTGAACCTCACCCTTGCCCACTCGGCATTGACTGTCGCGAAGGAAGCGACCTATAAACCTGTCACAGGACCCAGGCGCATTCAATTGGAGGCGAACAAGGAGCAGGGAAGAACCGGAGAACAGGGAAAAGGGAACAACAATGACAACGACGACATTATTGTCGCTAAACAAACGATCAAATGGCAATTTAAAAGTTTTTATTTAACACTAAATCACCCACACCACCACCAACATTTCCACTGGCATCGCCACCACCAATGAGCCACCCAACCGCCGCCACCTGACATTCGCTTTCTTTTTCAATTTCGAACCCTTTCGGCTTCTCCAACCCCGTAACCCCAACCCCAACCCCAACCCATCTCAACCCTTGCGCGATTTTCAATAACTTCTCTAGTGAAAGCAGCGAACAAAAGGCGCAAAACTTTACCGACTTAAATTATGGGCTTGTTCTTGCTGTTGGTAGGACGAGTACTCCTGCCCCTGCCCCCTGCCCCCTGCCTTCCACAGCTGCCTCTTATTTTTCCTATATTTTTTCCTTCTCGACTTGTGTTGACTCCTTTTTCTTTTTTTTTTCTTCGGTTGCCCGCCAAACCCATCGACTGCCTGACTTTTGACTCCCCATGGAATTTAGCGCTGTTGTTTTGTTGTTCTGTCGTTGCATGCATGAAAAAATGTTTGACATAAGCAGGCGCATGCCACGGCTGGAGGGAGGAGAGCGCTGAGTCTTGAATCGTGGGGATATGGCTAAGAACTTCTACGAATATTGGTATTGGCAGACGAGCAGTGCTTTAAGTGGAAATCATTTGACGCGGGGTTAAATGCCAGCTTAAGGGTTTTGATTGCACAACAGCGAGAGAAAGGCAGCTGCTGATTGAAGTGATGACCTCAAAAGGGATTTTGGATGTCTTCTACCGCATCAGAGGAAGGTCCTCAATAGGTTGTTTTAGATACGTATGCTTTCTGACTTTAAGTAAGATCTAGTCATGAGACCATGACGACAAGCAGCTTCTTGAACGAGTCTTTCGTTTCTACATGAACAGTCTATTAAAAAAAATTCCATATAAACGATCCATGTCAATAGTACTTTACAATTTATATAGCTCGAATAAATATATAATTGTGTTTTAGCAAGAGCCTAGAAGGACGTTGCCTAAACGGAAGGGCCGAAAAGGGTTTTGCATAAAAGAACTTTGAATAAAGTGAATGGACCAGGACGCCTACTTCCAGGGCTGTTTCAATGCCTGGCGTTGGCCGCGCTCCTCAAGACGCTTGTTAAAGAAAGCAATGGTCAGGTTGCGTTTGGCCGGGGTGAGCGTCGTCTTTGAGTTATTGTTGGAGGTCGGTTTCGGACCCAGGCATGCAAGGCTGCCCAGGCTGCTGCCCACGCGTACAAAACGTGAACGTTGGCGACGAATGCTAGTTTGCGACTTGACTCCCGAGTGGGCTGTAGATCCACCCAAACGTCCAGCAGGGAGCGCGAGCGGAGCAGGTGGGCGTTTGCCGAGGCACTTGGCCGGGGAGCTCAGTGGAGATGTGCGCGACTTCCCGACACTCGCCTCCGCTGTGTCCTGTGGCAGCTTGGCAGCATTGCGACGTCGCTGGCTGCCGGACTTGATGCGCTCCGGCTCGTCGATAGCCTCCTCTCGCTTCAGATCACGGATGAGGCGCGCCTGCAGCCGATTGTAGCGAGATCGCTTGGTGGTCAACGTCTTGGTCTTGATCAAGGGCTTTGGGGCTGCTCGTATGGTGGCTGCCGGTGACTTCTTCCTGTTCTTCGATTTAATATTGAAATTAACCTTGGCATTGATGAGTTCCTTGCTCTGGGGTTTCTTCTTGGTTATTGACTTTTTGATGGAGGTACGACTGGCGAGAGGTCTCGCCTTCCTGTTGGGCGATCCTTTGGAGACGCCTCGGGAGAGCGGCTTTTTACGATTTCCCTTGACGCGCTGCTGAGGGGCGCCAGTGCCGGCCCCGCCCTTGAACTGGTACGGCGTGTACCAAGGAAAGACGACGCTCTTGATCTGCTTTGTCACATGGGAGTCCACTTTGCTCTGTCCGTGGATGGCCGTCTCAATCTTTGGCTCCTGTGGCGACTTCTCTTTTACAAAGCCTCCGGTCAGGCGAACTAAGCGCTTCGAATGATGCGACTTGGTGCGCCGCACCAGCCAGGGTCTCGAGTAGGTGCGTTGCAGCAATGGAGTCTTCGTGCCGACCTTTGACGTTAACTTGGCCTTTTTCGAGGGGAGCTTGGTCGACGGAATTTCGGCCTTCGGCTTCTTCTTGTGGCTTCTGGCTGAGGCCGGGGGCGGATGATGGGAGGCCCCGGCTGGCAGATCGTAGTTCCATGAAACCTTACACCGAGCCTTGTCGCCTTGGGTGTTGATTCGCTGCGGCGACTTCTTCGATGGGGGAGCCGATGCTGCCGGCTCGGACTTGACCTCGTCTTTTTCATGAGTCCTTGCCGAGAGTGTCCCCTTGACGGAGCGGTTCTTCTTAAAGGCACGCGAGGCTCCGCGTGGACGCTTGGAAACCTTCAGTAGGATGTCCCTGCGGTCGACAGGCAAGTGCGAATCATCGATGATGACTCCGTTGAGGCTTCGACTCCCCTCATCGTTCAGATGAAAGACAGATATGGGGCTCTCGAATCGTTTGATCGTGGAGGACCATGCCTTGCGGGGAAGCTGCTTCTTAGAACGCGTCGACTTATTGGTCAGCAGCTTATCCAGACGCGTCAGACCCACCCCACACGAGCGGGTCATGCCTGAGGGCCTGTATGGCAGCATCTTTGGCTTCGTCTTCGTCTTCTGGGGCATCTCCGTGATGACCCCTGGGGTCGCCTTCTGCTGGACGAGATCGTCAAAAGCCTCTTTGGACTGGGCAATAAGCTCGGTAAAGTTGATGTGATCCGGCCGGGCGAAGTACATGTGCCCCTTGAAGTCGGCTACCTCGCCGAGGCTGTGACGCTCGGCGATCACCTGCGCCACCACCCGCTTCATGGTGGCCCGATTGAGCTGCTCCAGGTGGTTGGCCACGTTCTTGGCCAGGGCTTTGAGGGCCCCACCTGAGCCGCCGATTTGCGGCGAGCTCCACACTGACTTCTCCACGAGCCGCGGGGCGGCTACCATGCTGAGGTCCTGCTCTGAGAATCTTGTGCCGAATGCATGTTGTACTTTTGCCAAAACATTTTTTGTGTGATTTTGATTTCGGTGCAGCTTTTCCGAACATGACTGGACAGTCATTTTCTTAGATTTTACCAAATTTTTTGTAGTGTTTTTCTTCATTTTCTGCACATTTGTGTGTAAATTTTTGTAAATATTAAATGCGGAACAGGTTGGGGATAGTTTTACATCCAGCAAAATACGACAACTGTATAATGTGTCTAAGGTCAGTGCCTGCTGAGATATTGCTTTTTTCTTTCGAATGGGGGATATTCCTGAGTGATCTGTGAAGGACCATTAGGATGTACCTAGGTCTTGAGGCAGCTGCCTACGCTCCTGAGCTCTGAGCTCGGAGCTCTGCAGCTGCAGCCCCAGTAGCCACGTGCTAAGGGCCTTTCCTTATCAATGGGCCGGGGCAATCAAGCGGCAGGAAAACACCGTCCTCGCGAGGGAGAGCTACCTGCTGAAGAGAAAACCCTCGCACACCGTTCCGACCACAGCGACTCGGACTCGGGCTCGAACTCCAGGGGGAAGATGAAAAATTATAAATGATTTCATTAAAGCGAGAGCTGAGGGTCGACCTAGGTCAGGGCCGAAGACGAAGACTGGTGGTGGCGGTGGCGGTGGCGGTGGTGCACATGCACCTGCAGTTCATTCGGTTCTTATTCGGTTTTCGAGGGACACCTTGGGCAGGTGAAGTAGGAGAGCTGCTGGCCCCTGTCCATGGGTTTTTCTAGGGGTGGGAAAAATGATTTACGCAATGAGCGAGACACAGTTTTGATGATCCGCTTCAGTAAAGGTGAATGCGGACAACCCAAAAGGGGAACCCTTTGCGAAGTTCGATATGGAAGGGCTCCCTTTGCCTCTCTTTCTCCCTCTGTCTCTGCCTCTGTCTCTGTCTCTGCCTCGGCCATCGCCAGCATATGTACATACCAGCACTGGCCTCTTTCCCCATGCACTCTGGCTCTGTCTCTGGCTCGTTTGGGCCACTTAACCGTAATTAGGGCTTTTCAATATTATTAATGATGATGGTCGCTTGCTGGCCTGGAAATGTGGGAAATGCATTGCGAATTGATGACGATGACTGCGACGACGACGACGGCGACGGCAGACAGGCAAAGGACTGACGGACTGGCGTACGGACATGCGGACAATGAATACAAAAATGCAAACACGCAAACCGAAAGCGCAACAATTTTCGAACTGCAATTTTTGTGCCGCTCTGCTTCGCTCTATTTGACTTTTGCTGTAGCTTTTGTTGCTGTTGTGTGCCGATGTGGTGCTGTCGGTGGTGGCGGCAGTGGCGGCAGTGGTGGCAGTGGTGGTGGTTCCATCCATACGTTTTTAGCGTTATCAGTGCAAAATAATCTTTCAATCAGCCCTCGACGAGTACAAACAACGTCGTCGACATCGTCGCTCTTCTCTGTCGTATGCAAAGGCCAACGAAGCGTAACGCCAATTGTTGCAGTTGCAGTGTTGCAGTTTCAGTCGTTCCTGTGTGTGGCAGGGGAGGTCTGGTGGCACTTGAAGGGCTTGCAATTACAATGAACCCAGAACCTATCGAATGGCCAACTTCAGACCAAACTCCGATCCATCCCATATCCGAGGGGCCGACACACCACTTGTTGCAGAGTGCGTTGATTCACGCATCCGATTCCCCTCCACCGATAAAAGCATGCATATGGCAGGCATAGTCATGAGGGTTTTCCCATAGAGAAGATAAATGGAAGGATTTGCACTGACCAGAGCGGAATGTGATTAAGTTTTTATTATTATCGTTATTTTTCAAACATTTTAATGAAATTTGAATGACCATAAATTAATAAACGACGAAACAAGCTGGGAGGAATATATATGTAGATATAGCATTTGGACAGAGATATAGGGAGTGTGGAATGCTTAAAGGTTAGAGGCAAGGGCAGCGGTTTTAGTTGTATACCTTTTACTCAGTTAGTATATATGTAATCTAATGATTTATGCAACGCATGCAATATACACATGTAATGCGCTAATATTTCGCTTTGGGGGAATTTTTAAATACACTTGTAACAGTGAGATACAATATTTGGTTGCTTATTGTTTGTGAAAACTAGGCATCAAACAAAATGGAAAGACGGATAGACAGACAAAGCTATTTGCGACTTGGCTATTGGTGCTGATCAGGAATATACGTACATTATGGGGTCGGAAACGCTTCCTTCTTGGTGTTACACACATTCACACATCTTGCCCAGAAAGAGCTCAACCCCAACAATGGGCTGAAATCCCTTTCTGAAGGAGTTCATAAAATTTAAAAATGAATTTCCATGAATCAAGTTATAGAGATCTTCTTTGAACTCTGGCTAACACGGGAGTCTATGCGAAAAATGCCAAAGACTATTTTATTTTGTTTACCCTGACAAATTGAGCGTTTTTTTGAAACTTTGGGGTTACACTTTAAATATTTGTGGAAATTCTAGTATAAAGATGAGCTTGGACAAGACAAAATTGGACCAGATTATCCAGGAACTAACCGGATTGACGGGCGGGGAGAACTGCACCCTGTCGAAGGAGGTGATCGTGGCGCTGTGCAGAGAGGCGCGCGAAGTGTTTCTGAAACAGCCGATGCTCCTGGAGCTGGATGTTCCCATAAAGGTGTGCGGCGATGTGCACGGCCAGTTCACAGATCTGCTTCGAGTCTTCAAAGCGTGTGGATTTCCGCCGCAAACGAACTATCTGTTTCTGGGCGACTATGTGGACAGGGGCAAGCAGTCGCTGGAGACCATCTGCCTGCTGATGGCCTATAAGGTGCGCTATCCTGAGAACTTGTTCCTGCTGCGCGGCAATCACGAGTGCGCTGGCATTACGCGTCTGTATGGCTTCTACGATGAGATAAAGCGGCGCCACAACGTACGAACGTGGCGCCAATTCACCGACTGCTTCGACTGCTTTCCGGTGGCCGCCGTCGTGGCTAACCGTATCTTCTGCTGCCACGGCGGCCTGAGCCCTTCACTCCAGAGCCTGGACCAGATCCGGAACCTCCCCCGCCCCACGGACATCCCCAAAGAGGGCTTGCTCTGTGACCTTCTATGGGCGGACCTGAACCGCACTGGCTTCGGTTGGGGCCACAACGACCGAGGCGTGAGCTTCACCTACGACGAGAAGATCATAACGGAGTTTCTCGCAGCCTACAATTTGGACCTGATGATCCGCGCCCACGAGGTCGTCGAGGATGGCTACGAGATGTTTGCCAACCGACGCCTCATCAGCATTTTCACGGCCCCTAACTACTGTGGACTGTGGAACAACGCGGCGGCAGTGATGTGTGTCAGCGCCGAGCTCGTCGTCAGCTTCGTAATCCTGGATCGCAGAATCTGTAATTAGCAATACAACCTAAATACTTTTACGTACAGCATACTGCATTATGCCTTCTGGTATAGACATATGTTTAAACAATAAAGGCATTATCAGAATTTTAGGAAACTCTCGGGTATCCAGTTTGTATTTGTCAAATGATTACAAAACATTCAAAGTGCTATTATATTTAAAAATACAAAAGGATACAATCTAGTAGATCTTTTTACTCGCTTAGTTGTGGTCTGTTGTAGAAGGAGCACGTGATATTTAGAGATCGATTATAAAATAATATAATCTTTAAATTTATATCGTTTTTGTACAATTTGACTTTGTTAAGATTTAGTTGGTGTATCAAATAGTATCTTATATCTCCAATATATACAATTTTCCATCGGAATCCATATTAGAGTCATTTGTTCTGCGTAGCTCCTGTATATGTTTAAGAGACTTCTTGTTTTTAGGATATTTTTGTTCTTACAATTGGTATTTGACGTGTAATAAATATATAGATTACGATCATGTTAAAGCATATTAAATAAGATGTAGAAAGATCCGTGCACTGTGATTTGAGAGTGCATGGATTTTTGCAATAAATAGGAATATCCAATCTCTATCCTCTCTTGGCACGCCACAGATTTGTACACAATTATATAATCCATTGTGGTTCCCATACGAACGCATCTACTGCTGGTGTCTTATCTATATCCGTACCCCCCTAGTCACCACATACCGCACTTTCAACTCATTTCAATTGCCATTTGCGCCTTGTTTGCCTAGTCGTTCGCGAGCCAAGACAAAAAAAAAAAAATAAAAAATAAAATAAAAAAAAAACGAGAAAAAGAAAGAAGGGGAAGGCATGGAGGGGAATTGCAGCGGCTGGCGAAGAGGAAGCGGCCCAAACAAGCGGCTTCGGCCCGGGAATCATTTAAGCATTGCGGTGTGAAATTTCACACCGATTGCAATAAAAATTCAAGCGACCAACAATAAAACGCGAGAGAGAGAAAGGCCCGTACCCACTGAGACAGAGCCGAAAACCCCCAGACAAAGTCGAGGCCCAGACTCAGGGCCCAGAGCCCAGGGCCCAGGGCCCAACATTGAAACAAAATCAATCAAACAGACGACGGGCTGCGCATGCGCGCACGCCGGATGTGGATGTGTTGGTAGCTGCCGCTGTGGTAGCCACTGCCGCTGCTGTTGTTGTTCCAAACGGCAGAGGGTGGGGGGTGCTGTATTCCGGGGATGGGGGCCATGTACTGGTGGCGTTAATGGTGTCACTAAGTACGCCGCAAACTGACGGATGGACGGACGGACGGACGGGCGGAGGCTTCTTTCGATGCCGCTGATCATCGAATGGAACCAATAAAAGTTGCCTTCCCATTGTCTTTATTTGCGCGGGTCGCGCAGCCTGTACTCGTACTCGTACTCGTATTTGTATTCGTATTCGTACCATTTCCATTTCCCATTTCATTCAATTTGCATTTGTCGGCGCCGAATGTGTGGCCAGCGCATGGTTGAATGGTCTTGCGGGTGCTGCTGATGAATGGGGGAGAGCTGGGCTGGGAGTCCGAGTCCGAGTCCGAGTCGGGGGAGTGAACAAAAGAGTCAACCCATAGAGCCGAAACAATTCAATTGTCTGCCTGGTTGGGCATTCGGTGTTGGTTTTCTTGTTTTCGCTGGCTGTCGGTTGCGGTACATTGCATCTCACACATCTCGCACATTAGCGGTGCCAATGCCAACGATGACGATGACGATGACGATTGCAA